TAATATGTCACTCGGGGACGTCGTCCTCCTCCTCACACTAAGCTCTGGGTTGTTTCTCCTCTGGTCAGCCTTTGTCTCTTTTGTCACCTCTAAAGCCTGCTCTCTGTGCTACCTCTTCTCTGATTTCAGTGTTCCGAGTGATTTGTCTTTTCCCGACTCATCCTGGCTGACCCGGTCTTGCTGTCGTGTGTCCGCAGGCTCTTGCTCATGGTGGATTGTCTGCATGTTTTCCCCTGTGCCTTGTGAGCGCAGCTTCAGGGACACCTTTTCCATGGGAATTCTGTCAGCTCAGAAGGGAGTACTTTTACATTTGCTTTGGATAAGTCCCAGAGCTCTTTCCTGGAGCTCCTTTTGTTGTTGTTTTTTTTAATGTCAATTTTTAGTGTGGGGGTGTCTGGACCACTAGAGAGACTGGAATTGAGGAACAGGCCTGCGGTTCCAACCCCCAGGGAGATTTTATTTCCTCACCCATAACTGGGATGGTTCAGACCAACTTCCTTGTCACTTGTATGAGCCGTGGGCCGTTCTGCTCTCTGCATCCCAAACCCTGCTTACCAGGCCCGAGGCTCGGTCTCCTGCCTTCATCCGGGTGTGAAACTCAAGCCCTGGGCCACTGAGACCGGCCCCCAGGCTTACCCGGCGCTTCCAGGTTCTCCATAGGGGCACATTTCAGGGAGAAGTCTCGCACACATTGTTTTTTTGTTTGTTTTTTGTTTTTGAGACAGAGTCTCACTCTGTTGCCCGGGCTAGAGTGCTGTGGCATCAGCCTAGCTCACAGCAACCTCCAACTGCTGGGCTCAGCGATCCTCCTGCCTCAGCCTCCCGAGTAGCTGGGACTACAGGCATGTGCCACCATGGCCCTGCTAATTTTTTCTATATATTTTTAGTTGGCCAATTAATTTCAATTTTTAGTAGAATCGGGTCTTGCTCTTGCTCAGGCTGGTTTCCAACTCCCGACCTTCATATTATTTTAAAGCTCAGATTTCTTTTAATTTTGCAACAGAGTCTCACTTTGTTGTCTGGGCTAGAGTGTGGTGGCCTCAGCTTAGCTCACAGCAACCTCAAACTCCTGGGCTCAGGCGATCCTCCTGCCTCAGCCTCCCAAGTAGCTGGGACTACAGTGTGTGCCACCACGCCCCGCTAATTTTTTTCTCTTTTGTAGAGACAGGGTCACTCTTGCTCAGGCTGGTTTTGAACTCCTGGCCTCAAGTCATGCTCCCACCTCGGCCTCCCAGAGTGCTAGGATTATAGGTGTGGGCCACTGTGCCCGGCCTAATTATTCAGATTTCTGTTTTAGAAGAAGGGGCAGGCGTTAAAATAAAAACTCAGATTTCAGATGAAAAATCTACATTTCTGGTCTCACTTGCTGGGAAATTAAAAGGAAGATCTGGCCACTAAGATCCCCCGCGGTGCTTGGAGGTCGCATGCCCTCCGCGATCCTACTGTGCCGCTTGGCCAGCCAGGCCCCTGCGGGCACCTGCAGATGCCCCGCCGGCCCCGAGCCCCTAGGACCCCCGTAGTGCGGTGAGCCCGACCCCGCCGTGGCGCCTTGCACGGTAGTGACGGGGCCGTCGGCAAACAAGGCAGTCAATTATTAACAGGTGCGAGGCGGCACCAGGAAACCCGAGCCCGCGGCGACGCCGGGCGCCTGGCGGGAGCAGGAGCCGCAGTCCCGAGCGCCATGGAGGCAGGTACGGCGGGGCCGCGGGGCCGGGGCGGCGGGCCGGGGCGGGAGGAGGCGACCGCCCGGCCGGACATCTCCCACCCGAGCGGGGGGCCCAGGAGGCTGTAGAAAGTTCTGGAGCTCTGGCCGAGCCCCTGCCCCGCTCTGGGGGCGCCGTGCGCGGGATGCCGGGCGGCAGCAGATGCCCGGCACGCCCGCGGGCGCTCTCCAGCCGCCCGCGCCGCGGCCCGTCCCCGGTGGCTTCGCTCGGCGCTGCGGGGAGGGCGACGCTGGCAAGCCGCGCGGAGACAGAGGCTGGTGGCGGAGGTCGAGGAGGGGAGGTTCAGACGGGAGAGGTGGGGACAGAAGCCGAGAGGCGGGCGGGGCAGAGGCGGAGGGACGCGCACACCGGGCGCCGCGCGCAAAAGCGCCGCCACCGACTCCGAGCGCCCGGGCGAGCCCCGCGCCGGGAGACCCGCGCGCGGCCTTGCGAGTCGCGGGCCGGTCGGGCTGCGCGGTGGCGCGTGGCCGCGCCGAGTCCCGCCGGCCCGGCCCACAGCACGCCTCGGGAACTGGGGCGGGGCGCGCCCAGATCCATCCGACCGGCTCCAGGGGCCGCCGGGCGACGAGGGGCCCGGCCCGGCTCCTACCCCGCGCGGGGTCCGCCCGGACCTGGAGCTCTCACCCCCTGCTCGGCCCGCGGCCCCCGCCCTCGCGCTGGAACGTCCGGCCCGGCTCAGGTGTTGGTCTGCCACCCGAGACGCCGCCAGGTCGCGGCCGCAGCCCCGCCAGCAGGTTTATTTACTCTGCGGCCCCATCTCCGCCTTCGGCCCGGTATTCGCCCTGGCGGGATCCAGGGAACTGTGGTTTTTGTTGTGATAACTGGGGCAAGGGCCCTGCGAGAATTCCTGTCGCAGGCACCATCCGGGAGGCACTGGTCTCCGGAGTGGAGACCTAACTCTCTGAGGCTCAGTTTACCTGCTGAGAACCTCACTTACCCCATTTGTAAACTGGGGATCATACAAGCAAAAGTGCGCCGAGGGTGACTCTGGGTTTTGACCCCACTCCATAATTCGCCTGCTTTTGAGTGCTTTTCAATGACCTCAGGTTGTTTTTTGTATTTTGTCTAACTTTTTAATTGTCATCAGATGGAGAGATGGGCTTTTTTTTTTTTTTTTGAGACCATCTCGCTCTGTTGCCCAGGCTAGAGTGAGTGCCGTGGCGTCAGCCTAGCTCACAGCAACCTCACACTCCTGGGCTCAAGCGATCCTCCTGCCTCAGCCTCCCGAGTAGCTGGGACTACAGGCATGCGCCACCATGCCCTGCTAGTTTCTTCTATATATATTAGTTGGCCAATTAATTTATTTCTATTTATAGTAGAGACGGGGTCTCACTCTTGCTCAGGCTGGTTTTGAACTCCTGACCTCGAGCGATCCACCCACCTCGGCCTCCCAGAGTGCTAGGATTACAGGCGTGAGCCACTGCGCCTGGCCAAGAGATGGGCTTTTAAAAAATTGTGGTAAAATACGTGTAACATAAGATTTAACATTTTACTTATTTTTAAGTGTGCAATTCAGTGGCATTAAGTACACCCACAGTGTTGTGTACCATCACCACTATCCATCTCCAAACTTTCTCCTCTTCCCAAAAAGAAACACTAACCCCACGTCCCCCCTACCCCTGCCCCAGCCCCTGGTAACCTGGAGAGAGAGGTTTATAGGGCCTCTGCTTGCAAGTTGTTTGTCAATGTCCCATTGGCCAAAGCCAGACACATGGCCAGGCCAAGCTCCGAGGGCTGGAAAAATAGCGGGACTGTGGCAGGTGTAAAGGTGAGGCGGTATAAACAGCAGGTGTGTGAGGAGCAGAGGCCTTGAGTGAGACCCTGGCTGCTGGGAGGGGCTGGGGCAGGAAGCTCTCAGGGGCTCAGTATTCCTGCCACTGGGACCCCTCCCAAGGATCCCTGTCCCTGACTCCACCCTCCAGCCCTATGGGGGACGGAGATGGGAGAAGGGGTCTTTAGAAAGGCCCCTCCCATCTACTGAGATGTCCCGTGTAGTGTTTCACTTCCGCCTCTGCCTTCTATAACCCTTAAGGACACGTAGGAAACGAACTTGAAGCCAGACCCTTGTTGCCGGGCTGCCCACCCCTGGTGTGAGGCCTTGAATGCCCACATGATCAGAAGAGTCCATCCCAGCTTCTCTTCCAGGGCTTTCCTTGGGCCCCTGCCAGAGACCCTCAAGTGCACGGCTGGTCAGGATGCTCTCGGGAGGTGCAGGGGGACCTTCAGGATGTGTTGAGACCTACTCAGGAGCCACCAGTTTATCTGTGTCTGCTGGATAGGGCCTGGGTTGGAAGGCAGGCAGCTGGGCGTCTTTGGGGCTCTGGCCCTGGCTGCAGGGCCCTGCACATTCTGGTTTCTGTTCTCTCTGTGCCTTGATGGCAGATGACTCTTAGTGACCTCCTGGCTCCACCATGTCACTCTACTAGCAACAGCCTGGCTGACAGACTCTGGCAGTGCCTGAGCACCCCATTCCTCCCCCACAGCCGCAACCCAAGACTCTGACTGGCTCTGTTCATCTTTCCAGAGGAGCCACCTGTTGGAGCTGTACCTCAGGACAGCCAATCAGGGGCTGCCCCGGGTCCATGCTCTTTTTATGGTCCAATCAGCTGTGAAAGCTGGGCCTGGGGGCGGGTGCTAGCGCCTAATAGAGGCAATTTGGACCTAGGGCGGGGGCCCACAGCCAGGTGGGTCCAGCTGGGCCCTTTGGGGGCCGTGTGACCCCAGCAAGCCGCCTCAACCCTCTGAGCCCCAGTTTCCTTGTCCCATCATTGTCCTTCGCTTGATGAGCTGGAGAGGACTGGCACTCGGTATGGAGGGGGAGGCGTGTTTGGGGTGTTGGGGGAAGGTCCCACCTGAGGGCCCCGGCTCACCGCCCTGCCCTTTCTCTCCAGGCGGGGACGCGAAAGCGGGTGGCAGCCCTGTCCCTGCAGAGGACGCCCGGAGCCCCACGCCCCCCGCGCTCCCCGCGCTCCCGCGCCGCCCGCAGCCCCTAGACGAGGACGCGGGGCCCAGCGAGGACGCGGCGGGCGCGGGCGCCGGAGGAAGCGAGCCGGCCCCGGAGGAGCCGGCGGCGGCGGGCGAGGCCAGGCCCGAGCCCAAGGCGGCGGCCGGCGGGGTCCTGCCCATCGGCTTCGTGGGCGAGCCGCCGCCCTACGCGCCGCCGGACCCCAAGGCGGTGCACCTGCTCTACCCGCCCTTCCCGCAGGTGCCGGTGCTGTTCCAGGCCGCGCCCGCGCCCGCCGCCGCCTTCCCGCCGCCCGCCCCGCTCTACCCCGCCGCGCCCGCCTTCCCCTTCCCCGTGGTGAGTCGCGGCCGCGGGGCCGGGCGGGCGGGGAGCGGCGCGCAGGGGCCGAGGGCTCACTCCGGTCCCTTGGCCTGAGGAGCGGGAGGCTTCCCGGAGGTGGGGGCCTGTGAGCGGGTGCGGGAGGGTGATAGGAGCGTCCCGCAGAGAAGGGGAGGAAGGGCGCCCGGGCAGAGAGCACAGCACGGCGTGGGGGGAACGAGCGCGGCTGGTTTGGCGCGGGTGGGGCAGGGAGAGAAGGAAGATGGGACCCAGGTGAGGGCCCCGGGGCTTTGGGCGAGCTCTTGATTAGATTTTCTTTAAAATAACCAACCAAACACCCCCCCCCACCACGCCCCCCCACCTTCCCACCTTCCCCGGGATGCCCGGTGGAGAGATTGGAGACGCCCCGGGGGGCGTGGCAGCAGGTGGGCACTGGAGATGCCGTTGGTGGCGGGACCCTGGTTGCAGAGGGCAGAGCCCAGAGGACTCCTGGGGGCTGAGCGACCGGCGGGGGGGTGCAGGAGGGGGAGGGCAGGGGCCCCTGACCCACTCCCTAGGTGACCTGCAGCATCACTGGGGTCACCGGGTGGGGGTGAGGGGCACAGAGTGACTGACCTTCGGGCCGGGGCTGGCTGTGTCCTCACTCGCTGTCTGGCGGTGGGCGCCCCTCACCACGTGGCTCTGCCCCACAGTACGGCAGCCCCGTGGCTGCCCCGCCCCCGGCGGAGCACAGGCCCCTGCCCAAGGACTACATGGTGGAGTCCGTGCTGGCCACCCTCTTCTGCTGCCTGCTCACCGGGCTCGTCGCCATCGTGTACTCCCACGAGGTAGGTGGGGTGGCCGCCCCGCACAGCCCCTCCCAGCACGCAGCCACCAGCACCCCAGGTGGGGGCCACAGCGCCCCTCTCCCACAACAGCCTCTCTGGGGTCTCTCCCGCGGGAGGGGAGTGGAGTGGGGAGGTCCCCGCCCTCTGGCATGGGCGCCTGGCCGCTCCAGCGCTGCTCTGGGCGCCAGCCAGGGTAACTCGCACGTGTGGGTGGCGGCTGAGGCCCAGGGGCTGCCGTCCGCTGGGGCTGTGCTCTGAAGGGGAAGAAGCTGCTCCTTCGCCACCGCCCATCCCCACGCCTGTCCACGCCCGGCATGGAACCCTACCCTAGCTGCCCGTCCGCTGCCCACCCGCCCACCCCTCTTTTCATTGTGTGTCTACTCAACCAGCCACCACCTCTTCACCTCCCTGGCCTCTTCCCACCCACCTACCTGCCACCTCTGTAGCCTCGGTCTGTCCCTCCCTCTCTGTCTATTCACCCATCTGTTTACTCACCTGTCCCTCTCCTCACCCATCCTCCCCTCCATCCGCCTCTCACTAGCTCCCCCTTTTCCTTCCCTCCCTCACCCCCTCCCCACTTCACTGACCGTATGGGGCGCAGGCTGGGCCCTGGGGACTCGGCGATGCCAGCGTGATGAGACTGCAGCAGAGACGCAGCAGGCGAGCCTCTGGGGCCTGTGCTCAAGGCTGACGTGTGTGGCCCTGGCTTCCCTCTACTACCCAAGCCCGGGCCATGGAGAGAAGCCAGCCCTCAGGACAGCTCAGAGCCAGGACTCTGGAGGCCACTGCCTGCCTGTGAGCCCTAACTAGCTGTGCAGCCCTAGGCAGGTCACCTAACCTCTCTGAGCCTTTGTTGCCACACCTGCAAAGTGGGGGCAGCCTCAGGGGATGGCAGATGAAGCTGTAAGGGCATCAGTCAGTGCCAGGACGAGCACCTGGGAGCAGGTGGCCACTGCCGCCATCACTCCTTACGAGTGGCGGGCCTGGTAGGTCCCTGGCCCTCTCAGGGTGTGCTTTCCAGGCTGCAGGACAGGGCCTGTCTCTGGCGGCGTTGCACAGGGTGGCAGTGGGGCTCCTGGCTGCTCACTGCCCGAGCTATCTCGTTGCAGACCCGTGCAGCCCTGGGCAGGGGCGACCTGGCCCAGGCCGAGGCAGCCTCGCGGAAGGCCCGCTCTCTGGTGCTGTTCAGCCTGCTCTTCGGGGTCTTCGTGTCCACCAGCTGGGTCATCTACGTGGTGGTGGCACTGTACCTCCCCTGAGGATGCCTCGGGGGGAACCAGCCTGGCCAGCCCCTCCCTGTGGACTCGGAGCCCCGCCGGTGACCGGCCGTCGCCTACAGAGCGGACCCAGGGCCCAGATGAGGGTGAGCTCAGCAGCCTGGACCTCAGCCCCCGCCGCGGCTCGCTGAGGCCCGGGCAGCGTCCTGACCTGAGGGGCCCCGGAGCCCGGACCCCGCGTGGGACAGGGCTGTTTCCCAGGCGCCGGCTCCCAAGGTCTTCCAGGGACTCTTGCCTTTGCCTTCATCCCTCAGAGGCCGTGGGAAGGACTAAAGCCCTCACTGTCTTCAGAGCCATCTGGAAGGACTTTGCCACCCCCGGCTCCCCTCAATCCACCCCAGGGACTTGGGGGCGATCTGGCTGCCCGTGTTTAGTGGCGAGGAGCTGCCCCTCCTTCCCTCCCTAGTAACTCCCGGCTGGTTGTCCCGCACCTGCCCAGCCAGAGACGGGGTCTTTCACGCGGACCCCACCGTCTGTGCCCGCTCGGTCAGCAGAGAGCAACACCCCGTGCAGAGCTTCACGGTGCTGCTGCGGGGCGCAAGTGGCAACACCCGCCCACAGCTGGGCTCCAGGGCTCCCTGCCCGCCCCTCTTGGGGATCCGTGGGCACACCGAGGATCCGCGTGTTGCTCACGCTGCAGCGCCACTGAGCCCTGCTGCTGCCTCGCCTGGACCCGTTTCTGCCGGGGCGGGGGCAGCTTAACTAGAAACATCTCTCCCCGCCTCGGCTTCTGCTTACTGCTTCTTGGGGCCTTTCAGCTTCTGCCTCACCCCGCCTTAGCTTTCTGCTCGCTTGTGCGCTCTGTCTCTAACTTCATGGCCCAAACTGGAGGGTCAGCTGGGCCCCCCGCTGGTGGCTGCCCCCGCAGCCTGCAGAGCTGCACCTGGGTGCTCAGGTCTGCTGCCTGGAGCCCCAGGCCGGTGAGGTTTGGTCCTGAGGACCCTCCATTTAAACAGGATTCCAAACCACCGGTAGAGGGAGAAAGGGAAGGGGGACCCCTGGCGAGCCATGAAGGATCCGCAGCTCGCATTAGTCACATTAGTCGGAGCTTTCTGAGTAGGGGCGAGCTGCTCACAGCAGGGGCGCTGGGAGGCCGGCCCGGCCCTCCTCCAGGAGCTGGGGACACGGGATGAGGAAGTAAGTGACGAGCAGCTTGGAGATGGTGAGGTGGCCCTGTTCTGGGACACAGAGCTGGTCTAGAATGAGGAGTAAAATATATGATAACCACAAAAAGGAGGAGGCATCATTTTTTTAGGGATCAATAGATGCCAAAAAATACTTGGTTGGAATCCAACAGCCAGAGCGGAACCGTGCGGGCGAGTGCTCCTGGACTTCAGTGCGCGCGGCAGCCTGAGCCCGTGAGCAGGGCCTGAGCTGCCTCTCGGTGAGCGCTGAAGGTGGCGCTGAAGGTGGCGGCGAAACCGACAGCGAGTTAAGTAGGAACTTATTAAAACTCCTAAAAGGCATTAAAACCAGGATCACACCACAGATGCTCCCCAGGGTCTCCGTCGCCAAGATTGCTGTGAAGGTCCAGCTAGCGCAAAAGCACGGACGTGAAATTTGTGGCATGAAACCTAGCAGAGGCCCGACGTGGCGCTCACTTCTGTGATCCCAGCACTTTGGACGGCAGCGGCGGGAGGATCGCTTGCGCCAGGAGTTCGAGGTTACCGCGAGCTGAGGCTGTGCCACTGCACTCCAGCCCGGGTGACACAGTGAGACCCTGACTCTTACACAGAAAAAGCTGGAAGAGACAAAAATAATTACCTGGCTGGAATATCCAACAGTTGATGAAAAACTGTCGAATGTATAAGAGAACTCAGGAAAATAGTTGGATACCAAATAAATATGCAAAATTAATAGCAATAACCAGGTAAAAGTAGGAAAATTTAAAATTCTCAATAGTGGTAAACAGTACAATTTAGGAATAAATTTAACAAAGATCTGGGAACCAAATGAATAAAATTAGTTTTAAAAATTACCAAAAGATCAAAACGAACTGAACAAAATATCTAGAAAGATGTAATATTGTAAAAATATCAAATAGATTCAATGTAATTCTGAAAAGAAAACCAAGCCTTTTAAAAATACAACAAAATTACTTAAACTGTATGGAAGTAAAGTATGCAAAAATTGCTGATAATTTTATAAAAGTTTAATGAGAGGGGCTTTCTTCACCAGATATTAAAATTTACCACAAAGCTACAATAATCAAAACAGCATGGGCTGGGCGCGGTGGCTCACGCCTGTAATCCTAGCACTCTGGGAGGCCGAGGCAGGCGGATTGCTTGAGGTCAGGAGTTCAAAACCAGCCTGAGCAAGAGCAAGACCCCGTCTCTACTAAATAGAAAGAAATAATTGGCCAACTAAAAAATATAGAAAAAAATTAGGCGGGCATGGTGGCACATGCCTGTAGTCCCAGCTACTCGGGAGGCTGAGGCAGGAGGATCGCTTGAGCCCAGGAGTTTGAGGTTGCTGTGAGCTAGGCTGACGCCACGGCACTCACTTCAGCCTGGGCAACAAAGCGAGACTCTGTCTCAAAAAAAAAAAAAAACCAAAAAACCCAAAAAACAGCATGGTACTGCCATAGAGATCAGTGAAAAATTATAGAAAGTCTAGAAAATAAGGCTGGGCATGGTGGCTCACACCTGTAATCCTAGTACTTTGGGAAGCCAAGGCAGGAGGATTGCTTGAGGTTAGGAGTTCGAGACCAGCCTGAGCAAGAATGAGACCCCTGTCTCTACCAAAAAAAAATTAAAAATATCAGCCAGGCATGGTGGCACACACTTGCAGTCCCAGCTACTTGGGAGGCTGAGGCAGGAGAATCACCTGAGTCCAGGAGTTTGAGATTGCAATGAGCTACGATGATGCCCCTGCACTCTAGCTGGGGTGACAGAGTGAGACCTTGTCTCAAAATAAATAAATAATCTTAAGTATTATGGGAAGTTAATACATGATAAAAATGGCATTTTAATTGAGTCAAAGGAAGGGTTCCTCATAGGCAGCACTAGCCTTCTGAGTAGAAACAATCTCATTGAATGCAAAAACAAATTCAGGATGGATTAAAGAACTAAGTGTAAAATAATAACAGAAGAAAGCTTAGGAATGTACTTGTATAACTTCAGGGTGTTGGGGCAGTGTGGGAAGAGGACGTCGCACCCCAGCGGCGCCGCTGCCTCGTCCACCTCTGGTGTCTGTCGGTCTTCTAGGTTTTGACTCTTCTGTGTGCGGTGTGGTGGCAGCTCGGCGTGGGGTGCGTCTGCGCTTCTCTGATGCCGAGCCTTCCGCCCTGCCCGTCCCGTCCCATCCCTCTGGGGCGTGCCTGCTCCAGGCTGGCGCCCTTGTGTGCCGGCCCGGCCTCTCCTGGTGGAGTCAGGGGAGTGTGTGTGTCCGCAGAGGCGTCCTGTGTTGAGTGCAGCTGCAAACGTCCTTCTCCCTGTGGGACTGCCCCTTTCACACCTAACGGTGACACCTGCTGAAAACGGCTTCTCAGCTGTAATGTCGTCAAACTTGTCTTTCCTCTGTGAACAGTGCTTTCCATGGCTCAAGAAAAATTTCCCTGCTCCTAGACAATGAAGATAGTCTCAAGCATCTTGTAGATCTAGAAGCTTTGTTGGCTGTTAGTGTTTAGATCTGCCTGGAACAGACCGCAGGAGTCTGTCTGTCCTTGTGCCACTGTCACGCTTCCTTATGGAGCTTGACGTGAAGTCCTGACGTCGGGCAGGCCAAGACCTCCCACTGTCTGCAAGTGTCTTGGCCATTTTAAATCATATTCATTTAGAACCAATTTTAGAATTAACTTGTCAATTTTCACGCACACAGGTTGGAAATTTGACTATGATTAAGCCTATGGATTAATATGGGAATGGTTAACATCTTTGCAATGCGGAGTTTTCCAGTAAACACGGTGATGCCCCTTTCTTGCAGTAGTCCGGCCGGCCTCATCACGGCTTTGCTTTCCAAGGTTTCAGTTACCGTAAGTCAACGGTGGCCCAAAAATATTAAATGGAAAATTCCAGAAATAATTCTTAAGTTCAATCGAGTTACATGATGAAATCTCTTGCTGTCCTCTGCCCCCGCCCCTGGGACTTGAATTGTCCCTTTGTCCAACATATGCACACTGCGTGTGGTTACGAGAGGGGACGCAGCACGGAGTGGACAGCACAGGTAGGTCTGCTGCCATCCGCAGTTCCGGGCGTTCATTGTGGGTCCTTGAACGGACCCCCGTGGGTGGGGGGACTATTAGGTCTTTTAAAACATTTAAAACATCTTTTAGTGTTTTGTGTAGAAATATAGCTGATTTCATTAGTATCTCTAGATGTTTGATTTTTTGATGCTATTTTAAGTATTTCCTTTTCTTTTATTTGCTAGTCTACAGAATTGATTCTTGACTTTGTATTCAGCAACCTTTCCAAATTCAGTTAACTCTCATAATTTGTAGATGCTGTTGGTTTTCAGTTTGCTGATATTTTGTTTAGGATTTTTGCACTGTGTTCATAAGTGAAACTGGCCTGTGATTTGGGTTTTGTTCTTGTTATAGTTTTGGTATCAGGGTTATGTTGGTCCCATCACAAGCACTGAAAAATGTTCCTCATTTTCCTTTCTTTTTGGAAGTGTTGTATTACATTCATTTTTTTAATGTTTGTGAGAGGTGTGTTAAAATTTCCCACTAGGATCATAGATTTATTCATTTCTCCTTGTAGTTATTAGCTTTCACTTTACATATTAAGGCTGTGTAATTCACTAGATGCAAATTTAGAAATGGTTCTGTTAAATATACTTTATATCTTTACGAAGTGTCCTTTTGTAAGTAGCAATCCATTTTGCCTTAAAGTCTACTTTTTTTCTGATATTAATATAGCTGTACTAATAGGTTTTGGGGGGCTGTATTTGCAGAGTGGATCTTTTTCCATAATTTTACTTTCAACCTTTCTGCATCTTTAATTTTAGATAGACACATCTTGTGAACAGCATATAGATTTTAAAAAATAATCTGACAGCCTATCTTCCAACTGGGACATTTATTTAACAGGTTTTTTTGGGGGGAGGTAAATCTACCATGTCACTGTCTGCTTCCTACTCCCCACCCGTGCCACGCTTCCACCTGCCTTTCCTGCCTTCTGTTAGAGTATTTTTCATTCCATTTCTTCCTTTTATTGGCTTGGCAATTATATCAGTACATTCTCTTGCTATTTTTTCAGTGGTTCCTTAGAGATTGCAACTTGCATTCTTGTCTTCTCAAAATCCCATGTTTTTACTACCTTTATCTGCTTCCTGGACAATTCAAGAATACGCTAACTCCATTTCATCTCCTCCCTGAGTCACGTGCCATCGTATGTATTTTAATTCTCTATGTTTTAAACTCCGGGCATTTTTATTGTTGTTTTGTTTAGTTAGTGGTCATTTACCCACATATTTACTCTTTTTATTACTCCTTCTCTTCTTCGTCACGTGTGACCTGCCATGTGGGACTATTTCCCTGTGTCTGAGACGCTGGTTAGTCAGCCCTGTGTGGGTCTCCTGGTGACGAACTTCCTGGTTTTTGTTCGTCTGACAGTATCTCGATTTTACCTTCATTCTCGAAAGCTGTTTTCAGTGAGGAGGATTCTGCACGGTGGCCGGTTCTTTCAGCACTGAAGACACCCTCCCACTGCCTTCTGGCCTCAGCTGTGTCTGCTGAGGAGTCTGATTGTTGCTCCTTTAAAGGTGTAATGTGTCTTCTTTTTTTTTTCTTATGGTTGCTTAAAGACATTCTTTCTGGCTTTGGATTTCAGAAGCTTGACCATGCCGTGCATATATTTCTTTGTAATTACCCCATGTGGCGTTGATAAGGCCGCTTGAACCCGAGGCACTGATGTTGCCAGTCAAAGGCCAATCGAGAAGCAGTGATGGGACAGGTGGAGCTTAGCCTAGGGAGCTGACGACTCTGAGGGGAGAGTCCCGGCGACGGCAGAGAGAGGGTGCTGGAGAAGGTCTAGGGCCGAGGGTGAGTGCCCAGGGGAGGAGGGCCCACTCCCGATTCTGGCTGGGAT